GCTTCATCAGAACAACCACTGCAGGGCTGCAGCAGCGGCCGCAGCAACGCCCCAGCGCTCGGCGCCCAGGGCTCAGGGCTTAGGGCTTAGGGTTTAGGGTTTAGGGTTTAGGGTTTAGGGTTTAGGGTTTGGGGCAGGTGTTGACGCTGCTGGAGTTTGAGAAGTGGCGGGACCCCGACTTGTACGACGAAATAAGAGCTTGCATTTTTTCTTTGGATTTGAAAATTCGCCAATTCAACAATTTCGAAAGATACTTGCTGGAGCTCGAAAAGGGCAAGCTTCGCTGGTCTGTGCTGCACTCCGGTGAGGGTTTAGGGTTTAGGGTTTAGGGTTTAGGGTTTGGGGTTTGGGGTTTGCGGCTCGGGGCCGGGTTGGGGGGACGGGGCGAGGGTTTAGGGTTTAGGGTTTGGGGGGGGTCGGAGGCGGGGCTGCGGGCCAGGGCGAGGGTCGCTTCGGGGGATGAGGGTTTAGGGTTTAGGGTTTAGGGTTTGCAGAGAAGTTTTGGCGCGAAAACGTGATGGTTTTTGAAAAAGATGAATTCATCACAATTCAAAAAATCGAAAAACTCCTCGACAGCGAAGACCCAACAACTCAGGCCGTGGCTTGTTACGACTTGGGCGAGTTCGCGCGCCTCCACCCCGCCGGCAAAAAGTAAACCCTAAACCCTAAACCCTAATATAGCGTTTAGCCGGAACCGCAGCCCGGAGTGATGGACCCTGGGCACTGGCGGCTGCCAAGCGCCAAACCCTAGCGGCTTACAAACCCTAAACCCCAGAAGAGCGTCAAGCCGTGAACTTTGGCGAAGCCCTAAACCCTGAACCCTAGCTTGGCTCTAAACCCTAAACCCTAGCTTGGCTCTAAAGCCTAAACCCTCAGCGACAAGCGGTGTTTTTCCTCGACTGAGGGCCGGTTTGAGGGTACAGCGGGGCCAGTTGAGCTGGGGATCGGGGTTTAGGGTTTGGGGTTTAGGGTTTAGGGTTTAGGGTTTAGGGTTTGTGGTGGCGTGGGCTGCGAGCTGCAGGGTTTGCCAAAAGTTCAAAGTGAAGGACAAAGTGATGCTGCTGATCAGCAGCAAACACCGCGAGGTAGCAGCAGAAGCTCTTCTTTGTGTCCAGAAGCTGATGCTGAACAACTGGCAAGATGTGGCGAAACCCCAAACCTCGAAATAGCTGCCACACAAACCCTAAACCCTAAACCCTCGCGGCGGCCAGCCGCGCCGGGGCGCTGACTGCGCGGCCAGCAGGGCGCCTCGCGATTAGGGTTTAGGGTTTAGGGTTTAGGGTTTGCGATTACAAAGCTTTCAGCCCGTTCCTGTGGCTTCTGCGCGACTGCGCGCTGCTGCTTCACTGAAGTGGGGCAGCAAAACAGAACCAAAAAACCCACTCGGGGGTTTTGCCGCTGAGGCTGCTGAGGCTGCACTGCAGCAGCAGCAGCAGCAGTGTTGCTGCAGACCTGCTGCAGCAGTTGTGCTGCAGCAGCAGCAGCAGCAGCTGCACACGACCAGCCCACCTCGGGGGCTGAACTTGAACTGTTGCGAAACCAGAAAGAAATAAGAGCATTTTCATGATTTTTGGAGCTTAGAAGCTTTGTAATGCACTGCACTTTCCCTTGAAATGATGTAGCTGTAGCAGAAAAGCTGCATCCTCGAGGTGTTTCCAGTTTCCCCTCGCCGCCAGCTGAGTTTACAGGGAGGGGAAAGAAGACCTAAATGCCACAAATTTCTGCTTTCCGCAATTCTCCGTGAAGGAGTATGAAATGCGAATATCTCTGTGACTGAGATCGGCTTTTGGAGTTAAGAAATATTTCGCTTTCCTCCCCCCGAAGTTGAGGTGTATAGGCAGCTCTGCATTCAGTTTTGAACAACTTTCCTTTCTGAACGAATAATGAGGAAAATAGACTTTTTGTTGCACATTAGACATTTCAATGTTTAGATATTCCTCGTTTCAATGCGTCTCTGTTGCCTTTTTGTTTTTTTTCCTCCTTTCCTCCTGCGGGTGCCGGCCGTCACGCTCCAGCGCGCTGCTGAAACCCAAAGTAAGCGCGGCTATATTTGAGAACGCAGAGCGGCAAAGGACTTCTGAACAACATGAAAACTTGCAGGAAAAACGCAAACATGATTTCCCGGTTCGTTTATTTGCCTCAGCTCCCAACTTGAACCTTCGACGAAGCTGCTGCGTCAGTGCGGGCGGCTCGCAGCGCCGCCCGGCGCTGCAGCAGAGGCTTTCGAGGCAAGTTGAAAGCCTTTTTAGCCTTTAGAGAAAGTTTAAAGTGCTGCAGCAGCAGCTTCCCCGCAGCTCTTTTCTTTCTGGAGCTGCTGCAGGGGTAAACAGCAAACTGCAAATTCGCAAAAGCACTGCAGCAGCAGCTCGCCTTCAGAACTCCCCCGCAGCGCGCCGAAGACACAAAAAGGGGTCTAAGAGCCACTCAGCAGCAAAAAGCAAAAAGAAAAAGGAAAAGGTAGTGCAGCACAGCAGCAAACGCCAGCCATTCAATTTTTGTTTTTCTTAATCCCATTTGCAGAAGCTCTCGCGCTTTCTTGCAGCAGCAGCAGCAGCAGCAGCAGCACCTAGGCGGAGAACAGCGCCTCCACCGACGCGCCGCCGTTCTCCTAGAGGAGCTGCTGCACCTCCTGTGAGCTGCTGCACTGCTGCTGCAGCACTGCTGCTGCAGCTGGGGCAGCACTGCTGCAGCAGCAGCGCTGCTGCAGCGCTGCTGCAGCGACCGTGCTGCTGCAGCAGCAGCAGCAGCACACGAACAGTGCAGCTACGAACATGAACTCCCGGAGATTCTCTTGGGACTTTATTGCAATTATTCTTTTTCCTTCAGGCTGCTGTCAATCAAGAAAGAATTGAAGACACAGACAGAGAAATTGCAGCAGAACTGGGGGGCGGGGGGGCCCCCCGGGGGCCCCCAGAAGGGGCCCCCGCAGCTTTTGCAGCTCCTACGTTAAGTGTTGCAGGCGAAGAACAACTGCAGCAACAGCAGCAGCAGCAGCAGCAAGGCGGAGCAGCTGCCTCGCCTGCAAAGGCCTTTGGGGGCCCAGGGCTTTCAGTTGCTGCTCCAACTGCAGCAGCAAGACCAGCAGCAGCAGAAGAAGCAGAAGCAGGAGGAGCAGCAGCAGCAGCAAAGCCAGTCAAGGCCTTCAAAGGCCCTTCTTTCGGCGTTGCGGCGCCAACATCAGCAGCAGCAGAAGCAGCAGAAGCAGCAGCGGCCGAAGAGGAAGCAGAAGAGCGAGAAGCAGCAGCAGCAGCAGCAGCAGCACGAGGCTTTAAGTCCCCAGAATTTGGCGTTGCTGCTGCTGGCTATGAGGCCTGGCCCCCGCAGACACCTGAGAAAGGCCACGGGCGGGGAGTCAGTTGAATTTTTTCATTTTATTTTTAATTTAATTTAATTTATTTATTTTATCTTTAATAAACTCTTTCCAGGGAATTATTATAAATGTCGTCACCCGTAAGTCTGCCTTTTTCCGAAGCACTGCAGCAGCAGCAGCAGCAGCAGCTAAATTGAACTTTCCGTTTTGCTGCAGCGCCGCCGCAGGGGCCGCGGCGGTCCAGCGTAAGTTCCCTGAGGCCATTTCTTTTATATTTATTTCCTTTCTTATTATCTGCTGCTGCTGCTGCTGCTGCTGCTGCTAGGAAGTTGCTGCTGCCAAACCCCCCGAAAAGGCCCCCACTCCTAAACCCCCACATGTGGGGCCCGAAAGCAGGCATGGGGGCCCCCCTGAAGAATATGAAGAGCGGCTAAGAGAAAAGGAGCTGCAGCTGCAGCAGCTGCAGCAGCAGCTGCTGCTGCAGCAGCAGCAGCAGCAGCAACTGCTGCAGCAGCCCCAGATGCCAACTGTCCAGCCACAGGCAAGACTAGTGGAAAGCACCTCAAAACTGCAAACCCTAAACCCTAAACCCTAAACCCTCGTAGGTGGAGCTCAGCCCTGTCCTCGAAGGGATCCAAAGGCTAGACCAGAGGATTATGGAGCTTCACACTTTGGCTCAGCAGCAGCAGCAGCTGCAGCAGCAGCAGCAGCAAATGCAGCAGCAGCAGCAACAACAGCAGCAGCAGATGCTGCAGCAACAAGAGCAGCTAGCGGAAGCCATTAAGCAGCAGCAACAGCAGCAGCAGCAAATGCAGCAAATGCCACCGCAGGAGATTCCGCCATTTCCTGCGCCAGCAGCAGTTGAAACAGCAGCAGCAGCAGCAGCACCTCCAGCAGCAGAAGAAATCCCCGAAGCAGCAGCAGAAGCTGCTGCTGCACCGCCACCAGCAACTCCGCTGCCATCAGAAGCAGAAACCGCAGCAGCAGCAGAAGCACAACCCCCAACAGCAGCAGAAGCACAACCCCCAGCAGCAGCAGCAGCACAACCCCCAGCAGCAGCAGCACAACCCCCAGCAGCAGCAGCAACAGCAGCAGGCCCCGCCCCCATCAACATTTCAAATTACAACTGCGGCGGCGGTGAGCTTTAATTCCCAACAGCAGCGAAGAATTAAATTAAGTTACATTAACTTAAATTTAATTAAATTTAATTTAATTTAACAAATAATTAAAAGAGCTGCAGCAGCAGCAAACCCCTAACCCTCACTTGTGTATAAACCGCAGGCTGCTGCAGCGAAGCAGCAACAACAGCAGCAGCAGACACCCTCTGGGCCAGAATCCAAAGGCTCTCGGAGCTGCTGGAGAGCAGAGAGGCAAACCCTACTCCCCAAACCTCCTTCTAAAAGCTTTCCTGCTGCTGCTGCTGCTGCTGCTGCTGTTGCTGTTGCTGCTACTGAGCGCGTTGCGGCGAAACCGCTGCTGCAGCGCTGTCTAGCTAGCTCTCCAGCTAGCTCACTAGCTGGCTAGGTAGCTAGCTAGCTGGCTAGCTACCTAGCTAGCTGGCTAGGTAGCTAGCTAGCTAGCTAGCTGGCTAGGTAGCTAGCTAGCTAGCTAGCCAACTCGCTAGCTAGCTAGCTAGCCAACTCGCTAGCTAGCTAGCTGCCTCAGGCCTCCTCGCCTAGATAGCTAGCTAGCTAGGTAGTTTCCCTTAAAGTACTGCTACGCCTACGATGTTCCTGTTGCTTCACTATATAACTGCAGCAGCTGCTGCTGCTGCAGCTGCAGCAGCAGCTGCAGTGCTGCAGCAGCTGCGGCAGCAGCTGCAGTGCTGCAGCAGCTGCAGCAGCAGTGCTGCAGCAGCAGCGCTGATTGTCCTGGGTGCCTACGTTGATAGGCTAGGTGAGTTCGGCGAGAGCAGCAGACAGGCTGTTCGCTGCTGCTGCTGCTGCTGCTGCTGCTGCTGCTGCTGCTGCTGCTGCTGCTGCTGAGCCTACACGCGTGTTGCTCTACTTGTTGCTGGTGGTGGAGCTGCTGCAGGCCCTATTTGCTGCTGCTGGCGCTGCTGCTGCAGTCTTTGGGGAATACTGAAGCACTGAGTTTTGCCTTTGTTCGTTTCTGTTTGAAACCCTTGTAGTGGCGAGCTGCTGCTGCTGCTAGTGCTGCCGCTGCTGCTGCATCCCGGCAGCAGCAGCAGCCGCTGCAGAGCAGCAGCAAGTGCTGCTGCGCACAGCGAAGCGCAGCAGGTGTAGGTACACTGCATGCATGCACTTGGGCTCTGTACAAAGGGACTTTGACTGGCAGCAGCAGCAGCAGAAGAGAATGGCAAACCTCCCCGCGCCGGCTCCTGCTGCTGCTGCAGCAGCTGCAGCAGCAGCAGCAGCTGCTGCTGCTTGAACAAATGACAGGCCCGCAAGCTGCCTCTGGGCGCGGCTCACCCGCAGCAGCCCGCGCCGCGCCGCCCGCCGCTGCTGCTGCGCCCCGCTGCCGCCGCCTTCGCCGCCGCCGCCGCTGCTGCTGCTGCTGCTGCTGCCGCTGCTGCTGCTGCTGCTGCTGCTGCTGCTGCTGCTAGTCCGCCTGGGCCTCGACGCCGGCCTTGGCCTCCGCGTCCGTGCATGCGTCGCGCAGCAGCAAACGAATGGAATGGGCAAAGACCGGCGCAGCTTTTTTGCCGAGCTTTGCAATCTCGGGGCCGAACTTTTCGGCCACTTTTTGAATCAAAGGAGAAGCCATGCGGGCCACGGAGCCCAGGTGCTTCTTGAGAGAGTCCCAGAACTGCACCTCCTGCTGCTGCTGCTGCTGCTGCTGCTGCTGCTGCGACGTCTGCTGCTGCTGCTCGCTGAACGAGAAGTCGTCCGGGTTGAACACTGCGACCCACACGCGCACGCACGCCACAGCAGTGCAGTCCTCCGGATACCTAGACCCTCCTACACCCTAAACCCTAAACCCTAAACCCTAAACCCTAAACCCTAACACAGCACCACGCCCAAGACAAAAGGAACAGGCTGCACCCCAACAAACCAGCCCTCAAAACCCGCGCCTCGTCCCACGCCCCGCCCCCGCCCCCGCCCCCGCACCCCCCCACCCCAAACCCTAAACCCTAAACCCTAAACCCTAAACCCTACGGTCTTCGTCCCCTTCTTCCTCTTCGTGCTGCTGCTCGTGCTTCGCGAAGTCCTCCACAATGCGTTTGCACTCCTCTTCGATTTGGGGGCGAATGGAAACTGCTGTGGCGTGGAAGAGGGACTTCAGCGCGGGGGTAACGGCCTTCATGATTTCGCGGTGAACACCCCCTTCTTCGTCGCCAAGTAAGGATACTGCAGCAAACCCTAAACCCTAAACCCTAAACCCTAGACCCTAGGCATTGGACACTAGACACTGAGCACTAGGTGCTAGAAGCAGAAGCAAGGGGGGAACGGCCTTCATTATTTCGCGGTGAACACCCCCTTCTTCGTCGCCAAGTAAAGATACTGCAGCAAACCCTAAACCCTAAACCCTAAACCCTAGAAATTCGGCACAAGACACTAAGCACTAGGCACTAGAAGCAGAAGCAAGGGGGCAACAGCTTTCATTACTTCGCGGTGAACGACGGCCCCCCCTCTTCGTCCCCAAGGAGAGATACTGCAGCAAACCCTAAACCCTAAACCCTAAACCCTAGAGGCTAGAGGCTGGGGAGAGATGCAGAAGCAAGGGAGTCACTGCTTTTATTATTTCGAAGGAACGCCACCGTTCCCAACCCCCACCCAACAATGATGTGGCAGCAAACCCTAAACCCTAAACTCTAAACCCTAAACCCTGAAACCCTGGACCCTAAACCCTAAACATTAGGGGTTCGATGCAGAAACAGGGGAGTCACTGCATTTATTATTTCCCGGTGAACGCCCCCGTTCTCCTCCTCCCCAAAATGAGATACTGCAACAAACCCTAAACCCTAAACCCTAAACCCTAAACCCTGGAGCGTTAAATAAGAAGCGTGAAGCAAACAGTGAGGCTTGGATTTGGGATCCTTGGGGACTTCTGAATGAGCCCCGGTTGGTGGCGCAGTCTCTGGTCGGCTGCAAAAACCCTAAACCCTAAACCCTAAACCCTAAACCCCAAACCCTAAACCCTAAACCCTGCTTACGAGCATTTTGGATCGTCTGAGTGGCCTCTGCCTCGGACTGGGACTCGGCGAAAGAAGCAGGGCGAAGATGCAGCTGGGGAGAGCTGCCCAACTTAACACCTACAACAGAAACCCCAAACCCTAAACCCTAAACCCTAAACCCTAAACCCTAAACCCTAGGCCCTAAACAGAAGCCACGTCGCAGGCGGAGCTACGAGCGGCAATCCCTTCGAGAGGCCCACCGCACGCAAAGCAGGGAACCCTAAACCCTAAACCCTGAAGATAAGTCCCTGAATGGAAACCCCAAACCCTAAACCCTAAACCCTACCGAAGGCAGGAGTATGTAAAAAGGCCACAAGGGCCGCAGCCAGCACTGGGGCTCTTGCGGATTTCATTGTGTGGAGAATTCGGGGAGAGAGGGTTTAGGGTTTGGGGAGAGTTGGCGCTGGGAATGGGAACGGAGAAAAAGGAAAGGAAACGAAGTTCTTGTGAGGGTTTAGGGTTTAGGGTTTAGGGTTTAGGGTTTAGGGGTGGTCGAACAGAGCACAGAACGCCGAAAGCTGAATGCAGCGGCTAGCGAGCCTGGGGGCAAAAGGCGAGCGGGGGCTGCTGGTGCCAGTCCCCGCTAAATTAAACTCTTCTTTTGGCCTTAAATAAATTAAATATTCTTTTTTAATTCTTTTTTAATTTAAATTTCCTCAAAAAGCACTTCAAGGCTCTTCGTTGCTGCTCGACGACACACAGAGCTGCCTAGACACCCCAGCACCAGAGCCGGAAAGCAGCAGCAGCAGCAGCAGCAGCAGCAGCCCTTTAGAGCTTTTTCTTTGAATTGTGTCTTCTTTTAACATTAATTTCCCCTTTTAATCCCATTTAGCTCCATTTAATTCCATTCAATTCCATTCAATTCCGTTTAAACTGCAAAAGCGAGGGGGGCCACCTGTCGAGACACCGCAGAGAGGCGGGTGACCACTGGACCACTCGGGAGCGGCGCCAGTGCCTCACTTTCTCGCGTTTCTCCTCGCGTCAAAGACCAAATTCATATATTAAAATTAAAAAGGAATTTAAAATGAAATATAATTCGCCGCGGGAGCAGCGAGAGGACGCGACTCCCGAACTCCCGGGTGTACGTACACCCCAGCCTGTCTTCCACCCGCAGCTGTCCAGACAGCACAGCTTCAGGAAGTCAGAAATAACACTAAAAAGGCTTTTTTTAGACACATTTAAATCCATTTTTCACTTTAATTCCCATAAAACGTGGCCAGGGGCCCCCTGCGGCACTGGGGGCCTCCCAACGCGCCAGGAGACCCAGCCGCACAGCTAGCTGTGGCTAGCTGCAGCTAGCTGTAGCTAGCTGTAGCTAGCTGCAGCTAGCTGTAGCCGGCTGTGGCTAGATGTAACTAGCTGTAGCTAGCTGCGGCTAGCTGTAGCTAGCTGCGGCTAGCTGTGGCTAGCTGCGGATGTTGCTGCAGTTGTTCAGGGGGCAAGAGGGGCTGTGACACCCTGTTGGAAACGTAGAGAGCTGCAGCAGCAGCAGCAGCAGCAATAGCAGCAGCAACAGCAGCAGCAGCACGGGAGGACCGAGGGGCCCCACAGCGCTGCTGGGCCGCTGCTGTCCCGCACTATCGCTTACAGTTTGCTGCTCACTGCAACGGCAGCAGCAAAACCCTAAACCCTAAACCCTAAACCCTAGAGCTTACTCGCCTCGACTGAGGGAGGCGGAGAAGTTTGAAAAAACAAAGTGTGCAGCAGCAGCGCACTCGCAGCAGCAACAACAGCTGCTGCTGCTTCTGCTGCTGCTGCTGAAGCGCCAGCTGCACCACATGGCTCACAGTTCCCACCCTAAACCCTAAACCCTAAAAGCAGTGCATCTGCCTAAAGCCTAGGCGCAAACCCTAAACCCTAAACCCTAAACCCTCCCGAACGCCTCAGCGATTTGCTGCTCAGCAATTTGGGGCTCTGTTGGATCTATGAGCAGCAACCTGCAGAAAGGCAATTCGAACCCACAACCCCAAACCCTTAACCCTAAACCCTAAACCCTAAACCCTAAACCCTAAACCCTCGACTTTGGCGCCGCACCTGAAGCCTTTGCTTTCCGCTTCATTAGCGAGTCTGTTTGAGGTGTATGTACACCACAAGTCAGCAGCGAGAGAAGGCAGCAGCAGCTGCTGCTGCTGCCCGCAGACGGCCATCAATAGTTGCTGCTGCATCTGCTGCTGCGGAGGCTCTTGCTGCTGCTGCTGCTGCTCCGGGTGCTGCTGCTGCTGTGGCTCTTGCTGCTGCGGCTCTTGCTGCTGCTGCTGCTCAGGCCGCTGCTGCTGCTGCGGCTTCTGCTGCTGCTGGTGCGGCTTCTGCTGCTGCTGGTGCGGCTTCTGCTGCTGCTGCTGTGGCTGCTGCTGCTGCTGCTGCTCAAAGATAAGGGGTGCGAGGTGCGCAGCAGAGACTAAATCGGGTACCAGGTGCCCCGCTGCTGCATGCAGGGGAGCTGCTGCTGCTGCTGCTGCTGCTGCACCCGGAGCGGCAAGGGCCATAACGAGGCGTCTTGAAGGGAAGGCGACTGCAACGCCTACGTTCTGCAGCAGCAGCAGCAGCAGCAGCAGCAGCCGCAGCAGCACAGCAGTGCCCACCCGCTATCAACACACATACAGAGTCAGAGGCAGACACATATACATACTGCAGCAGCAGCAGCAGCAGCAGCAACAGAAGCAGCAGGAAGAACCAGACACTAAGTTTATGGACTTACCCCGAAGGGTTTCATTTCTCTCAAGGGGTCGTCAGCAGGCTCAGCAGCAACAGCAGCAGAAGCAGCAGCAGCAGTAGGGGCCGCAGCAGCAGCAGGGGAAGCAGCAGCTCGCTGCAGCAGCTGCAGCAGCGGTGCCTGTACCGCTGCCCACGCCACCGCATGCATTGCCCTGCTGCTGCCGCTGCTGCTGCCGCTGCTGCTGCTGCTGCTGTTGCTGCTGCACCTCGCAGCCTGCTGCTCCTCCACCAAATGCTGCAGTGCTGCAGCAGCAGCAGGAAACCTCCTCGCCAGTGTGTTCCCTAGGCCCTTCAGCGCGCCCTCCTGAGTAACCAAACCCTAAACCCTAAACCCTAAACCCTAAACCCTAAACCCTAAACCCTACTTCTTGAAGCCCAGAATCTTATGTCCGAAACCCTAAACCCTAAAACCCCAGCTCTAAACCCTAAACCCTAAACCCTAACCTCCAAGCTTTCAAGCTTCAAGAATGATGGCGGTGCAAATCCAAGGGTGCACAAGAGCCCAGACCCTACGCCCGCACCCTAAACCCTCAACCCTAAACCCCAAACTCTAAACCCTAAACCCTAAACCCTAAACCCTAAACCCTAAACTTCGAACCTGCAGCTGCTGCCAACTTGTGGCCAGGCGATACACTGTGGCCGGCTGCTGCAGTTCAGAGGGCGGGCAGCTGCTGGCCCATGCCTCAAGCCTGTTCACAAACCCTAAACCCTAAACCCTAAACCCTAAACCTTAAACCCTAAACCCTAACCATAAACCCTTTATTTTTAGCCTTAAGAGTCGTAGCGCTGGCTGACCGCAGCTCAGGATGTAGGGCTTTCGGGCATGAGGGTTTAGGGCTTAGGGTTTAGCTTGGAGGTTAAATCGCTAGAGAAAAGGGTTTGCAAATTGTAAATCAAAGACAGGGGATTAGGGTTTAGGGTTTAGGGTCTAGGGTTTACGCACCGCTCAAAGAGAAGAGAGAGAACTGAGACGTCGGTACACCGCAGGGCCATCAAGCTCCAAAGCAAGGAAGCAACCTGCAGCAGCAGCAGCAGCAGCAGCAGCAGCAGCAGCAGCAGCATCAGCAACCGCCGGAGCAGCAGCGCAGCAGTTCCCACTTGCTAACAAAACGCATACAGAGTCATCGACAGACACACATACGGCAGCAGCAGCAGCAGCAGCAGCAACAGCAGCAGCAGCGAGAAAGACATGCGCAGCACACGCAACCCCAAGAGCAGCAGCTGCGGCGGCAGCAACACCGACACCAGCAGCAGCAACAAGGGCTCCAGCAGCAGGAGCAGCAGAAAAAGGCGGGGCAGCTGCAGCAATAACAGCAAATACATCACTCCCAGCAGCAGCAGCAGCAGCAGCAGCAGCAGCAGCAATTACCTGAATGGGGTCCGCTGCAGCAGCATGAGTGTGCAGCTGTACATACACTGCATCCCTGATGACCTGGAAGACAGCAGCAGCAGCAGCAGCAACTGCTGCTGCTGCTGCAGTTTTGCTGCTGCTGCCAGTTCCATCGCTGGCGTTTTGTTGCGGGGGAGAGCCCGGCAGTAAGTGTCCTAGCTGCTGCTGGTGCTGCAGGAACAACTGCTGCTGCTGCTGCTGCTGCTGCTGCTTCTGTTCTTGCTGCGCCGCAGCGGTATATTCCGCAGGCCCTGCTGCTGCTGCTACTGCAGCAGCTGGCTGCAGAGGCCGCAGCAAATCTAAGCGGGCGACTGCAGCAAGGCAGCCAACGAACTCAGCAAAAGAAAGCTGCTGCAACAACAGCAGCAAATGTTTAAAGCAGCAGCAAAGTGCTGCCTCTGCTGCATCTCCCCAGCTGCTTCTCAAAGATGTCCAGTAAGAGGCTGGCGCTGCTGACAGCAGCTGCAGCAGCAGCAGCAGCAAGGCTGCGGCTTCGTCGTCGCTGCGTGCTGCTGCTGCTGTCTCAGCTGCTGCTGCAGTCTGCTCCGCGGGCTCTGCTGCTCCTGCTGCTGCTGCTGCTGCTGCTGCTGCGTCAGCGCCCATTCGTATCATGCGGGCAGCAATTTCGTCGAGCACAGCAGACAAAAAGAACTGCTGACGCTGCTGCGCCTCCTGCTGCAGCATCAGCTGCTGCTGCTGCTGCTGCTGCTGCTGCTGGTCGTGATGCAGAGGGAGGTGCTGCGGCAAGCGAGACAAATAGGGAACTCTTGCTGCCAGCAGCGCGAGTTCTGCTGCTGCTGCTTGCTGCAGCCGCAAGTCGAAGAGGCGGCTGAGGTGTCTGTACACCTCAGACAGGGCTTGCTGGTACTCCGCTAAGTCTCCACAGCTGTTGCGCAGCAGCAGCAGCTGCTGCTGTTGCTGATGCTGCTGCTGCGACGCTGCAACTGCTGCGTCATGAGCGGCGAGGTGCAGTTCTTCGTCAACTGCCTGCAGCAGCAGCAGCAGCAGCAGCAACGGAGCATGCGCTCATGCTGCAGTCAGCAGCAGCAGCAGCTGATGCAGCAAGCAGCAGCACCAAGAGCAGTGCAGCAAGATTGGGTTGAAGCTGCAGCAGCAGCAACAGCAGCAGCAGCACTGCACTTACAGCCAGCCCTGTGGAAATAGCATCTAAGGGCATCTG